TTTTTGGATTAAGATTTGGTGGAATATTCAACAGATTTTTAAGAAAAAGATAAAATTTACACCGCAGTTATTTCTTCTGGGCATTATGGATAATTTGGATCAAAAAGAAATGACACTGATGCTGTATTGTATAACAGCAGCAAGGACATTAGTTGCTCAAAATTGGAAAAAAAAGATATTACCAACTATGGATGATTGGAGACAGAAAGTATCATATTTTGCAGAGATGGCAAAAATATCCGCGTACCTGAAGGATCATTCTCAGGAAAAATTTATCTCAATATGGAGAAGATGGATAGATTATATTCAGAGAAAGTATGAACTGAAAAATTATTATGTAGCTTTTGATTAAAAACTTAGAATAAAATTAGGTATATTACATATTGATATAACTTAAAAAAATTTTTTTGTTGTAATTTATGTTATTTTAGAGTCACAGTAATTTTGTACTAGTGTGTAGTAATAATGAGTAGTTTTGATTAGTATTGGATGATTGTGCATTTATTTCCTAGATTAGCTATGGGAAGTCCTGGGGGGGGAGGGGGGAAAGGGGTAGGTTGGTATTAGAGATTTACATGTATATATATGTATGATTTTCTAAGGAGGTGCCCGGTGATACCCCAACTGCACTGACAGGATGGTTGAGGGGGAAAGGGAGGTAGGTAAGAGGGAGGAAGGAGGAGTGGTGGTAGGTTAGGGAGGAGGAAGGTGTAGGTAAGTGAGAGGGTGGTGCGGGAGGGGGACACCGGACATGTCCGTGAATGTACTGATTGGTGTTGAATTTTTTTTTCTTTGGTTGATATTGTGATAAAAGATTTATGTTTTTGTTTTTCAATGAAAAATCAATAAAAATTTATTTAAAAAAATAAAAATAAAGTTACTTCTTGGCTGGGGTATTAAATTACTTCCTAATTTAATTTGCAACTTTGGGTTTTCATAGAGATCTCTCATCCAAGTATTAACCAGGGCTAATTCTGCTTATTTTTTATTAATTGGCCATGATCTACCAGATCCTGCCACCTGCTCTAGACCTCATTTTTATTTATATGCAAATTAAATTAATAAATTGACTAAAAATATAAATAACAATTCGATTGTGCCACAGACCCAAATGTATTTATTTATTTATTATTTTATTTATTAATTGTTTTTTTATGTCACCCGTAATGAAGCAAGAAACGAAGAAACATCTCACATTTTAAAATCCAGCAAAGTGGCTATGGCCTAAATTGTGAAATAAAAAGTTGCTATTCTTAAGGTACATAAAAACAACAACAACAATAGTCCCTGGATAAAATCTCAAATCTAAAAATGTTGTGAAATATTGGCTGGTCCTAAGAAAATATTACCTAGGTAATGGATTTTAGTACCGTGTGCTCTATGTTTGCTTAGACTAAACTAAGAAAAACCCCTGTTCCCCAAAATATTTTGACTTCACATATGTCCATTCAAACATACGCACTTGTCTTTAAGGTCCCACAGGGCTCTTCTTTGTGGGTCTTGATGGTGGCTCCTTCTTGTTCGGCTTTTTGGCTCGGTCTATTTTGCAACAAATGTATGCAGTAGGAACTATTTCAATCCAAGGAAAGATCGATAGAGGGCGCTGTGTGCTTTAGTTTTAATAGAGGGAGTGGACACAAGTATTGGACAGATAGCCTTAAAGAATAAATTCTGCACCCCACATATGGGAGCTGGGAATGCCGTTCAAAAACAATACATACCGAGCATGATGAATGGTGTGATCCTATACAGGGTTTCAAAGCAAGCCCCACATATTTTAAGGGCGCTTAATCTCAAGAAAGGGGCATAAGGCTGCAAGCTATCAGTACAATCTTTGACATAGTTAAATCCAGTTGAGTTCATTAAGATTTAGCCCCAGCGAAGTGTATGTGTGATTGCAGGCTAAAAGAAAAGTTGTAATGCAAACACTGGTGTTGGTAAGTCGCATTATGAAATCTTCACGGGTGGCTGGCTTTAATCGTTTGGAAGGTCCCACGTGGAAAGGAGGACAGGGGTCAAATTGTGTCAGCCCAAGGTTACATTTATGATCTAGCCTAAAAGGAGGGAAAAGTCATGTTTCCTATCTGGAAAGATCTCTATTAAANATAATCGGATTTTCTATTGTAATTATGACTGTAATGATATTTCATTTTAAAACGAGACTTTTTAGAGATGCCTAAACTAGGAAAGTAAGGAATGGGGGCTTTGGAAAGGTCTGAATTTCAAAAGAACCAAATAAGACTCTTTCTCCCCCCCCCCAAATGGTGAGACTAAGATAGAAAAATCATTCCAACAACAAACGAGGTCCGAGTTTTAAACGGATGGAAGTTCTTCAATCAGGTTCAGGAATGTTGTGGTGCCAATTTCCTGGACCCACTGAAGGGTCTTAACTGCCGAAACTGATGTTCAAGCCCATCTATATATTAGGATCGCGCGCAAAGGCGGCTTTGGAGGGACGTTTGGGACTTGTTCTCTCTCTCTCTTCTGTACCCAAAATGCTGGTACCGTTTGGACTGACGACAGACAGTGTCCGGATGGCGTCTGAATCTCTCCACATCGTGGTCTCGTTCAATGTCTGTCTCTGGGGGGAGAACTCCGGCTTCACGGATCGCCTCGACCCCTGTCTCTTTCTAAGGATTCCTAACAAGGGATCCCTGGGACAGATCACCTCCCCCCCGGGCAGGTCTCTCTCTCTCTCTCTCTCTCTCTCTCTCTCTCTCCCACACACACATACACACACACACACACACACACACACCCGTCCCCCGGTTGCGCCAAAGAAACCAGGCAACGGGATTAGTTGGGTGCTGGGTTCGAATTCTGAGCTTCCGCGCCGACTGGGCAAAAACTCCAGCGAGTTGCAGGGTGATTTTGTTTTTTTCGGGGTGTGTGTGTGTGGGGAAGCCCTCCAAAGGGCTGCGTCCAGTCCTAGATTCTTCCGAGGAGGAAAGGGAACGGGGTTCTGCAAGCTCCCAGCCTCCTGGCTTTCTGGGGGGGGAGGGGGAACAGGTTGGCTAAACCCCTGCTTACCCTTCTTTTCTTTTTTTTCTTTTTCTTTCTCGGCTGCGGAGCTGGAGAGTTTGCGTGGCACCCCCCCCCAAAAAAAGCGCGCGGTTGGGGGGGGGAGAAAGGAAGGGGGGGGTCCGAGATAAAGAG